GCGGGCTTGTGGCAACCACATGTGACGACCCCGGGCTGGACTCCGCTTCGTCCACGGTGAAAGCTGATCCGGCGATTGACAGCGCGAAGTTGATGTATTTCCTCAGCGACCAGCACGGATCAGCTTTAAGCATGACAAAGCGGATATTGTCCTCTTTTGGAAGACCAAACAAAGTAGTTTCGCTTTCACAACAAAACACACGGCAACAAAATACTACGGCGAGAATCAAAGTTACGCCTTCTTTCTTTGCATGAACATTTGGGCGGCGTTATGCAAATCTTCCCACATCGTGACGTAGATATGTGGGGGCGTGTTCGAACGAGCCGTTTTAGGTAGGCGTGGCTGACTCTTTACTTTTATAAAGAATATCTCTTTGGATTTGAGACTTTAGTCTTTGCAACTTTACAGATCTTCTTTATGCACCAAGAGCTTGTAACACTCCAAAGAGAAAGGAAAAATCGCATCATATGACCCCTTTAAAACCACAAGATGAAGACTCCAGCTCTGGTAACGTTTCCATGCTTTCTAAATAATGAATCTCCATGAGTTTACCATGACTTTTCAAGTCATAAATTGTGATTACTGGACAATGTTTTTTAGAAATGGAAGTTTCAGTTTTCCATGACCGTGCAAACCCTGTGGTAAAGACATGCTGTAAGTGTTTCTGCAGCACTTTGTAGAATAAAAGCATCTGTTATATGAATAAATGTAATTGTAAATGTGCTCTTTCTACTTCATTTCAGCCCTTCCCTTTTGAATATGAAACAATATGTAGATTTATACAAAAATGAAATGTAGGTAGAGCAGTGCGAATTTGTTGCTTTATAATAAACACATACTTACGTGCAAATCTCGCCAGCGGCCTGCTGTTGGTCTCCCCATCCTCATTAGCCACTACAGAGAACAACAGAGAGAGAATAAGTTATATGCTGGCATTTCTGTGTGTGTGTGTGTGTGTGTGTGTCACTAAAAAACATAAAATACCTTTTTTCGAAAGTTTTTTTTCAGAGGCTTAGTAAAATACATCATTAAAATCTTTTTTGGCTCCTTTCTTAATGCGTCTTTTTGCATAATGTGAATATAATGAAGCGAGCTGCTGGAAAAGCGTGGAAGCCTGCTTTTAAACGACTGTTATATGAGCCTTTCATTAGGATTTCAAATGGGTCTTGGTCAGTAGGGGACTGGAAGGGTGTTGTTAGTGTACTGTGAGTCACTTCTAGTAAAAAATAACACAAGAACAAGAACAAAAAAGGCAGAGAAAATCAGCATGATCCACAAGAAAGTCTTCGGAGATGCTATAATGAGAAGGGCAAACATTTCTATTTACTTATTTTTAATTTATAATAAACGGCTTTTCCAGATGAAGGTGTTTTTTGTATATTGCTATGCGAGTTGCTTTAGGGTGTCCTAGGAGGCTAGTTGGGGTTACTAGTCAAAAAAAAGCACACTGAACAATTGATTGCTGGGCTGCGTAACCATGACGACAGGCAGATGTTTGAAAAAACCATAAAGCATTATGATGTGAGATTCCCTGCTGTGATCTTGTATGATGGTTAACTAGTTTATCTACAGTATTAAAAGTGCATTAGTTAAATAAAGAGTTTTGCACGTAAGGAGCTTCCTTCTATAAAAGCATCGAGACAGACAGTAAAAAAAGCATCTAACACCTCTGATGTTTCCATCATAACACCTTTCCTGACCGCTGTCCTCCCACGTGGGTGGGTGTTTCTCAGAAAAAACGTCCGATCGACAGGATGGTGTGTATGGAAAAATCATGTACCTCATTAATGTGCTCATTATCTCAAAATAAACCCGACAAGGTGATCAGGATCCAGACACGATGCGTTTATTTTGAGATAATAAGATAATGAGCAGCTTATGGACATGAAATACTGATTTGAGATTAAATGATGTTATCATGTAAGAAGGAAGACATGAAACTAGTGCAAACTAGTTGCCTGGGTCAATGGCAATTGTAAAGTTTAGTGATTATTAGCTATACAACAATATATGACCACAAGTGGCCAATCAGAATTGAGTATTCTAATAATCTGTCAAATTTGATTTTTGACAGATTAATTTGAAATTTAGATTTTGAAAGGATGAGTTGAGAGGCAAAGTTAAATACTTGTGTTGTTATCAATAAATAGAAATCGTTTTCTGTAATTGAAATAAAGCTGAAATAAAACTAAATACAAATATTAGACTAATAATTTACAATAAAAAACTGGCAAAAAAAGTTGGCAACTAATGGAATTAAGTTTAAGTTAAAGCACTAAAATTACTAACAATAAAACTAAAATAAAACCAAATGAAAGCTAAACAGAAATATTTAAAATATATATTTTTTTTTTTAAAGTTATATGGTTTAGTGGTTATTACACAAAAATATCTGATCATGATCACCAATCAGAATCGAGTATTGTAATGAACTGTAAAAACATTAATTTATTTTATTATTACATTTTCTTTTATTGGTCAAACTGTGTAGTGAAGTTAAATACTTGTGTTGTTATCATTAAGTAAAACTATTACAAATCGTTTTCTGTGATTGAAATAAAGCTGAAATAAAATAAAACAAACATTAGACTAATAATTTAATTTTAAAATGGCAACAAAGTTGGCAATGAACAGAATTACATTTAAGTTAAAACTCTTAACATTTCTAAAAAAAAATAATAATAAAATTGAAATAAACACAAATTGAAGCTAAAAAGACATATTATATTAAACATACATATATTAATAAAAAATTTTTTAAATGATATGGTTTTGTAATTAGTATGAGTATTCTAATAAGCCGTATAATAGATGATGGATCCCTATATCCTTGCAATAATCCCTTTTAGATGGTTCTTTAATATCTCTAATATCTGTTTCTCCTAGACAGCAATGAAATTAAATGGAGAACAAACTGAGACTTCTGTTCAAGCTTCCTGCTTTTCTGTCTTTCACTGTTGAGAAAAACACTCACATCTCCTCTAAAGCCATCTCAGCGATGTCTCAAACTGTGCTCAGAATCTGACATGAAAAGTCAGTTATCATTAACTAAACGGTTAAAAACTTTTTTTTATTTAAGTGAACCTGACATTAAAGGAGACACATTATGCCCCTTTTTACAATATGTAATATAAGTCTCTGGTGTCCCCAGAATGTGTCTGTGAAGTTTCAGCTCAAAATACTCCACAGATCATTTATTATATCATTTTGAAAATGCCTATTTTGAGTGGAAGCAGAAACACGCTGTTTTTCGGGCCTGTCTCTTTAAATGCAAATGAGCTGCTGCTCCCCGCCCCCTTTTCCAGAATAGAGCTGCGCCATTACAGCTGGTACCTGCTAAAAACATCTGTTTTGGTTCTGATTAACATGTTTTAAATTATTACTTTAAATAAAATATAAATAATAAATGAATAACTTAAAAATTACAACAAAAACTTGCCTTGGCAACTAACTGAAGTAAGTCGAAGCACCACAATTACTGAAAAAAATGAAATAAACTACAACTAATAAAATACACTAATTGAAATAAAAATAAATGGAAACAAAAAGGTAATAAAAATGCATATAACACTGTAAAAATGTAAAAATAAAATGAATATTCAAAATATAAAAAGCTAATTTAAAATACAAATAAATACTATAATAATATATAAACGATGCCATAATAACACTGACTTGGTGTTAGAGATTTGAATAAAAGTCTAAGTGTAAGCAATAGTAACAAGTAATGCATGCATTTGCATCTTTTCTTTTTTTTTTTTACATTAACAAGATAATGCACATTTCAGCGTTTTCACAAACATTTCTCTTCAAATTATCCCCTATTCTAACCAGATTTCCAGGCTACAATTCATTTATTTTAGACTTCTGTATGTACTGTTGTCTTACTGTAAAAGAACCGTAACAGAAACATCAGAGATGAAGCTGATACTTAAATGAGAATTCATTCAATCTTATACGCCATGCAAAAACAATAGTTTGCTCTGAGTAGGTTTGTGTTTGATTGTGTGTGTGTGTGTGGTCAGGTGCATCTTACTCTGGTTGCTATGGCACCGTGGAGTTGTGCTCACCTGAAAGAGTCTTTTCAGAAATCAAACACTCACACATCACATCCTGAAATCAACACATCTGTTTGTATAAGCACTGATGCACAAAACAACTGACTCTACTGTACATCTGCTGTTTGTTTCTTACCAATGGTGAAGCTGAAGCCGTCGATGCTGAAAGTGGCACTTCTGCCTTTGGTGAAGCCCTTTTTTCTAGAGTCCGTTTCTGACATCTTTTCTTTCTCTCGTGTTGTATTTCGCGAGTAAATCCCAAAGTTGTGCGCGAATCTTTTGTCTCTGGTTCGTCAGATCTCTCTATCCTGACCTGCTCTCACGCTGTACTCTCAGAGGAGAGACACTATTTCTCTTTTTCTATCATTCTCGTCCTCTTTCGCTCTCACGGTCTCATTTTTTCCTCCCCGGCTGAATGGGAGTCCCCTCTCAACAGAGCACTTAGTGTAGCAATGCATAACATAACACACTCTGCCCCTCGCAAAGCACATTTGAAGAAAAAAAAAAAGCAGCTTTGTCCCCCCGCGTGTGAGGATGTGCGCGTGTGATTTTATCATCGAAATGCAATCAAACCAATTTCGAATCGCTGCGGACTTGTTGAACACATTCCCAGAAATGCGTCTAGCTGGGCCAAGGCTGTGAGGTTTATGTGTATTTTGGTAAAGCGTGAATCATTCATTTCTATTCAAAGACTGTTGTTTTTAAAAAAAGAGAGAAAACCATTGAGACGAATGGACAGGTGGAGGCCGAGATGTTATTCAGCTATTGTGCTGAAGTAATAGCTGAGGTTTTGGAGCTTTGATGTTTTTGTCTGTGTCTAAATACAGTGGGCTGGGCGACCTCAAACCCCTGAGGATTCAGTGGCGGTTTAATGCGTGACTGTCTCACGTCTGAGGGAATGATTAAAGAGAAGACAGCAGACAAACCCTTCAGCTCCAAAAAAAAATAAAAAATAATAATAATAACTAAACAATCATATAGTACAAAACTCTTAATTTTTCAACTGTATAAGCATATACGGTATAATTAAAATTATAAATAATAATTTAATTAAGTCAATTGTCTTTATTATATATTTAAATTCATTCATATATTTAAAGACAATTGCACATTGTCTTTAAATATGTAATAAAAAGCGACAAATTATATAAAATTGTATTATTTAAAACAATTCTTTGTTATAGAAGACAATATATCAGAATACATAAATACTGTGTTAAGTAGAAGATCATGTATGTCACTGTAAAATGTATATTTATGTATTCTAAAATGGTCTCTTTTAATTAATAATAATGTTTTTTAGAAGTAAAAAGTATTCATTTTCAACTAAAAAATTTGTTGACATCTTACTGTATTTTTTAGTATATTTATTATTATAATATTTATTCTGATTTATTCACTAGTTTCATAAAATACACTGCTCAAAAACTGGGCGACCTCAAACCCCTGAGGATTCAGTGGCGGTTTAATGCGTGACTGTCTCACGTCTGAGGGAATGATTAAAGAGAAGACAGCAGAAAAACCCTTCAGCTCCAAAAAAAAATTAAAAATAATAATAATAACTAAACAATCATATAGTACAAAACTCTTAATTTTTCAACTGTATAAGCATATACGGTATAATTAAAATTATAAATAATAATTTAATTAAGTCAATTGTCTTTATTATATATTTAAATTAATTCATATATTTAAAGACAATTGCACATTGTCTTTAAATATGTAATAAAAAGCGACAAATTATATAAAATTGTATTATTTAAAACAATTCTTTGTTATAGAAGACAATATATCAGAATACATAAATACTGTGTTAAGTAGAAGATCATGTATGTC